TCCGTGGCAGCAGCAGCTGGCATCCTCTCATCGTGTTCACCTCCAGTCTCCTGTTCAGACACAATCTGCTCGTTCTGTGACACTTCACAGACTGAGGGCTGATTTTCAACATGTGCTTGTCTCTCCTCTGAACTGTTTCGATTTTCAGAGCTCACACCTTCACCTATATTTTCATTTTTCATCTCTAACAATGGAGCTGTATCATCCGTATCCACTCCCTCCTCTGGTTTACTGTTCTCCTCATCTGTTGTGGTGCAAACTTGTTCTTTATCCTCCAGATCTTCCTCTACATCTTCTGGTAGCTGGGTCTCTGTCATGGCTTCATTTACGATTTGATGATCGTCTTGCGCCTTTGATTCTTCATCAGCACCAGGTTCTTCATCACTTGTTTCCATCTTTTTGCTAACAGTTCCATCTGTTGGACTTACTGATCCTGCATCTGCACATTTTTGGTCATTTTCAGGTGCTCCACTTTGTTCACAAGTGTGGAAGTGTTTGATCTCCGTTTGTTCGACTTGATTTCCTGTTGGTTCAGCATCCAGCAGCTCTGGATGGTCATTTCCTACTTGGTCAAAGTCTTCCTCTCTGCTCGGACCATCCTCAGATTTTTTGTTCTCATTGCCTTGTTTCAGCTGCGCGACCTCTTCCTCATCAGACTTCGAGTCGTTGGCGCAAACCTTCCAGGCAACAGTAGCTGAAGACAAGCTTAGCAGAGAAACGGTGGCATCTGGTCGTTGCTCATCTTCTTCCTCACTGGGATCGATGGCGTCGTCTTGTGTGAGGCCACAATCCAGAGGCTTGCTGTCAGCTCCAGATCCATTTGGGGAGTTTGTGTCGCTGCTTACAGGATCAGCTGGCTGTGGTGTGAAGAATCTGTTCACAGCTTCAGATATATAACTCTGAAGAACCAAAACAGAAAGTACGTTTGTTAAAAATCTGAGAGACGGTTTTATAACAACATAGGAAAAGCACTTAGTTTGAATTAAAAATACTTTTAGTATTTCATCACACAAGGCTGATTGCACAATAGTGTCCCTTGAGGTTTGCAGTGAGTTCGAGGAAGGCCCTTTCCTGTTTGAGAACAATGATGCCTCCGTGCACAAAGAAAGTTTCCTAAATGAATGTAAGAGACTTGAGAGCGACCTTCACTGAGTCCTGGTATAAAACCTCTGGAAAATTAAAAATTGCCAAAATAAAGTATAAGATGCAAAACACAACAACAATATAAATAAAATTGAAGGATTTATTTGTTGTGTTATTTCTGTCTAGTTATTAAAGCCCACTGCAAATGCTTTTGCCTGTGTTTGTTCGTCTGCTATGGTACTGGCAAATGATATCATGAATCATTACAGATTTTAATGAAACGTTCAGGAAGTAATCGCTGGATATGTATTTAAAAATGATTGACTTATGGAGTTAACCATATTCAAGATGGCCAACACAGCTAACTGATGTTAAGAAAGACAAAATGATTATAACGCTGTCAGTTTTTCAAATACTGAGCTAAAATTTGGGGAGTAGCTGTGAGTTCTCCCAGCACATGCTCTGAGCACTCACTGTGATCACAAACAGAAGTGTGTGTGTGTGTGTGTGTGTGTGTGTTGTGAATCTGAGCTAATACTACATCAAACTTTAGCTCAGTGTCTGTAAACCTGAAACCACCCTTTGTCTCCAACTTTACAACATGAAGTAAAAGGCCAAGTTGACCCTTTTGTGGAAGCAGCAACAGAAGGTTTTGATGAGGTCATCTCAGCCCCTGACCTCAGGATCAATGGTCAAGTTTTGGGAACAGTGATAAAGGGATAGTTCAGATCTTTTCAAGTGGGGTATTGATGTAAGGTTATGATAACTATAGCAGGGCCAAGATCAAAGTGGATCGATTCTGTCTTAAAGCAAATCCATCCATCCATCCATCCATCCATCCATCCATCCATCCATCCATC